CTCAGCCTCTAACAGAAATGAGTACCGGTAATTAATTAAATAGTTTTCCTGGGCAGTAAAGCGCAGCCAGGGCGTAAGGCTGACAACCTTACCGCCATCTTTGAGCTGATTTTCTAGATGATGTGGGAACCTCAACGTCTCACAACTCTATGGGTCATCACGGCCTTTTACAGGGATAATTGTACTTTTTTTTTTACTTTACCCACACAACATGGTGGAGTATAGAAGAGAAAAAAGCAACAGTGTAAGATCACACAGGGGGAGGAAGACACAAACCACACAACTATCAGCAAGACGCAGAATACAAACCACGCTACTTAGAACCCATAAAGCCACATAGAGCTAGAAATATGAGACGCGTAATTTGGTATTTTAAGGTTAACACTTCAATATTTTTTCGCCTACTTCCTTAAAATAGGCTTATGCTATCTCCATGCTCTCTGTATGTCTGTGTGTCCATGAATTCCTCTCGCTTTATTGACTTCTGAATATCAAAATCAATATTCATGAAATTTGTTGTTTATATCATGGTACCTGAGCCCATCTCAAAGGCGGGCTTCATAGAGCCCTCCCATCAGCCTATGTCTCTATCTTGATACCTCCTACCGTTGCTAAGCAACGGCTCAGTAAACACTTTCGCGCTGCAAAGAGTAAACGCAACAATAGAAGAAATGTTGAACGCATGTGTCTGTGGGTCTGTCTATGTATCCCCCTATCGTTGCTAGGTAACAACTCGATAAAGCCATCCTTCGCCAACGGAGAATTTTTGGGGCTTCGTTTTCTATGCGATCTATGTGGTATTAAATGAGAGTAGGCGATTAAGTCTTTCCAGAACTCCTTATTAACCTGCTTTCCTGAAGTAGGCTTATATGATCCTTAATTATGTCAGTTTCAACAAGAGGACCCTGTCTATGTCTCTACAGCTCTTTGTTAGACCTTGGCCACCTTTTCAGTTTCTTAATCCTGCACAAAGTCGGTAGGACTCCTTGGACAGGGGATCAGTCCGTCGCAAGGCAGCTGCCTACACACAGAACAACACAAATAGAGAATAAAAGCACACAGACATCCATGCTCCGAATGGGATTCCAACCCACGATCCCAGGGTTCGAGCGAGCGAGGACAGTTCATGTCACTGCGATCAGCCAACAAGTAGACTACACAGGACATTATTTCAGTGTACAACTTGGAAATTATTCCCAAATAAAAACATTGGCCAGTGTAAAGGAAAACAGCTTACTGGCTGAAGGTGACTGCAAATTGTGTTAATACCTGATGATGGCCGAAAGGCGGAAACATGTCTTAAAATTATAGTGTAGTTGTAACTGTACAAATAATTTTGTTGACGGAAAGAAATACCTGCCTCACACACAACACATTTCATATTCGTTTCAAATGCCAATTGCTTACGCTTGTCAGGACTCAGCTACATGGATCTAGTAAGGGAAGTAAAGGCTGCTTGAAAAGTATAATATTCTAGGACATAACTCCGTGTAGTTCGTTGAAAGTCAGCCGACTTTTCGGAGCAACATATTGCCTCCATGTTCAGGGTCGAAGAATTCGAATAAGGTACCACCGTGAAAACAGGTAGAAATGCTTATTCTTCGATACTAAAGGTGAGGTGTTATGTTACACACAAACGTCGGTTGACTTTCAACGGGCTACACGAAACTCTATCCCAAAAGACATTACTCCTCATAAACACCGCTGTGAGAAACTCAGATCCTAGGCCACGCCATAGCTCAAGCTGTTAGTCTCACGGCGGCGCCCCGGGTTCGATCCCGAGTCTGGTCAAGTTGGATTTGTGGTGGACAAAGTGGCGCTGGGGCGGGTTTTCTCCGAGTACTTCGGTTTCCCCTGCCAATCTTCATTCCACCAAATTCTTCATCATCATAATCACCCGAGGAAGGTACAATAGGCCAATCACTGGCCACCGTGCCGAGTGGACCCAGTTGGACTCCACCCCGACTAACTCAAATCCTACAGCGGCTGTTTATTCTGAAGTCCACACGAAACACTCTTGTGGGAATATAAAGGCAGGGACATATATTAAATTTCCCTTACCACCACGGAGTCCCAGGTTTCATAACAAGTCATATATTATTTGCGGTGGACAAAGTGGCAGGGGGCAGATTTTCCCTTTGTATTTCTGTTTCCCCTGCCAATTCTCATTTCACTAACTACTCCACACAGTATCTCCATAAACGTCCGGAGTACTTTCTGGATATGATCTCACACCAAGATACGGTTTAACAAACAAAATCTGTTCTAAAATATTGAAGGCCCGGTACTCTTTCATTGTTCCCCTAGTATCTTTTGTTTCGTTCAGGGCCCTAATCCCGGTCCTCCCCTTCCTGCATCTGTAATATTTATTTTACGCTTAGCTTTCTCTTCTACCATGAAGATGCAGGAAGTTGGTTTCTCCGAAACTTGATACCTTTCTACTAGACTAGACGGAGTAACGTTTCAATCGAAAGCAATCTTCTTTAATTTTAGAGTATGTGGTTCATGTAGGAACCACTGTATTGACTTGGAAGAAGGGGGGGGGCACGCCGTAGCGTAGTTGGTTGAGGCACTGTACTACAAGCCGGAAGGTCTCGGAATCGAATCCCGATGAGGTGGAATTTTTCAATTGAACTAATGCTTCCAGCCGCACTGTTGCCCTGGGTTCGACTCAGCCTCTAACAGAAATGAGTACCTTAAGTATTCCTGGGGGCAAAGGGCGGTCGGAGCGTAAGGCTGACAACCTCACCGCCATCTATGAGCTGACTGCCTAGAAAATCTGGGAGCCTCAACATCTTACAACCCTACGGGCCTCCACTGCTTATAGCCTCATTAAAATTAACAGTACAGAGAATCCATAGATTTAAGTGTTTTCGAGCATTTGTATCCTGAAAATGGAAGCAGTACTTTCCTCCGAGACTTAGTAACAACCTACCAGACTATATGTTGTCATAAGCCAGTAGACCACAATCTGAGATTCTAGTCTTTCAACAGTCTGTTTCTTCCACATTAAAAATCTATTTATATATTCAATATTATATTTCAGCATCCTGTTACACTCACACAATATATATGGATAAATACCGTCTTAAGTGCAACAAATTTTTTATTGTAGTTTTTACTTCTTTTCCTCCTCCACACTACATGTTTCGGCCCTAAATGGCCATCATCAGGTGTGTATCACTCACGTAGCNTCACCATTCGTTTAAATTCCTGAAGCTAAGTCATAATGCATGATTTCTTCACAGGAATTCAAGAAGTTTATTTCCGGCGATTTTGTAATAGTAAACATGAATTGCGATTATTAAGAAACATTCCGGAAATACTGCGTTGAACTATTTACGACCCGGCACTACTCTTGCAACCCCTGAGCCAGACCTCCTACACGTAACCTAGTTATTTCCTATGTGTACCCTCTCAGGTCACATAATGGATACCGTATTTACACATGTATAGGCCGCACATTTTTTGCCAAAAATTCAAGAGGAAAACTGGGGTGCGGCTTATATTCGAAATATTTGAAATCACTCTTCATTGTCATAATTAGTAATACAGGGTGTTCTACTCCTGAATTAATATTCCAAGAAAATTATTTTTTCTATAATTTCTGTCTGAAAATTGTGCTGCGGCCTATACACGCACGCAGCCTATACATGCGTAAATACGGTATTTTGACAACAGAACATATCCCTCAAATATAATGTTTCAAAGAGTTTTTTGTCAGAATCAGTAGAATGGTGATTATAATCCTAAGGAATCTTTAGATACTGTTTTTTTTTT